ATATAAGATCTAGTTATTTGATAAGACGTATGGAAAAGTGATCAGAATATTTAGGTACTAAAAGTCCTGACGTAAAGATACAAATTTATATTCTCCACTTGTCCACATGAACCTTGTGTAACGGTTAAATTTGATTTTAAAGTGTACGGATTTTGGTCACATGATTTTTGCTCATAGTATAATTTCTGGTTCGCTTTTTCTTCGTGAGTATTGTGGAAAGAAGTGCGTCGCCAAAAAACTACAAATCAAAATTTACAAACTTTGCTAGTAAACAATGTGGTCCATAGATTAAAATAATTTATTCAAATATGTTAAACTATATCAATTCATTGTTGGAAGCATATATTTACTTTAATTTAGAGTTACAATCTGTAAACTAATGCAGTTGATTTGCAAGTCGAAATCGGGACAAGAACATAAATTATTAGTTACAGTAGCAATTAAAATCCTGTTAAATGTGTGTTTTAATATTGAATATGCATGTACGAATTTGTTATATTGACAAGTGACCCATTTTCATTTACGCGCTTGGAACAGAATAATAGCGTTAGTAGCGGAAAGGAATATCTCTCATACAGTCGTAAACCAGAAACTATCATCACCACCGATGGTTTTCCTAGATGATGTCGAAGTTGCCGAGAAATTTAATTCATACTTCTTTAACAGTGTTAATGAAATCTGTAAAAATTTGTGTGTTAAAACGACCTTGTTCCCATAAAACTAAACCTCTTGTTCAATAGCTGAAATAAAAGACAAAGTTTCCTTCGCAAACGACCTGCAAGGGGGTTGTGCCTGGTTATAAAAAACGGCGAAACTCGGAATGATCGGCCAATATCTACCTATTGCTATGTGCAATGGGCGAACTGGCAAACGGTCACTAAACCACCCATATACACACATGTCCAGCTAGATCAACAGAAACCAAACTTCTAACAATTTTTGAATGAAAATTTTGATTATAAAGGTTTCCAAGGCACGTTCGGCATCTGCTACTACGAAAAATTTCAATAAGACTTTAATTTTGTTAATACCTGAAATTCAGCAGCCTTAGCCTTTTCGCCTTGCTTCAACAAAATCAATTAATAACGCTGTAAAAAAGAATGGCACTCAGGGGCAGACGAACGCAACAAGCGATCGATTGAAACAAGTTAAATTTAAATAAAACTTTAATTACCTTAAAATTAATAATCCTTAACATATTCAGTCAACTGCGATTCTCTTTAAACACATGTACAAACACAAAACAATATTAATTTAAATACTTCGGTAGCTCGCGCACAATCGGTTGCATATAAATTGATAAATAGAAATTAGCAAAATCTAAAATTAGAATGTGTTCACATAAGTTATAATGGTGTATAATTTCTGAACGGTAATAATACTTTGCAACAAGGTAATAGTCGTTGGTCAGTACGGATTTCCTCAGGCCCCACCCGAAGATTTATGCTTTTAGTCGAGGGTCGGCCCGGCGGTGATGCAACGGTCTTGGGGTTGTGTAAAAATCGAGGTAAAAATCGATAACCATAGGCAGTCAGTTGAAGAAACGCCGAATGCTAGTGATCGGTGAGCGGTCACGTCCAGGGAAACAACTAAAACAAAATTACCGCACAAGGACACGGTAACGAATTCTAAAGTGGTAACTGAAGCACAACCACAAGTTAATCGGTCTCTACGGGAAAACGAGATGCAGAAAAAATTAAACACAACCCCCATTTTTATACTTAACGAAAAAAACAGCATCAAACGCTTACCTTTGAATTAAAATATACGGTGAGAAATTTTACTAAATACTAAATGCAAGACAACGAAATATCGAAAGATCCTCCATAAACACCAACTTATAAATTAAGATGGACTGCTAATGCTGAATTGACAAATGACACCTACATGGGGCCAATAAAATGAAATGGCCTATGATGTGTTCCAGTCGTACTTGTTATCTGGTTGCAACGTAAAAATGTAACACTAGACCCTCGCAAAAACGGATGTAATTCGATACAATAACCAGACTTCCCGGCGGGGACCAGTTCAATTAAACAAAGAACCCATTGAAAAAAACACATGCAAAAACATTTGCTCATGTCTTGACTCTAATTAACCAAATCATTTTTTCCCCTTAGACCAAGACCAATATTTATCTGAGAAGACACTTTTTTATCCTAACAAATTTATAACTTGAAACTGCGATACTTATTTATGCGAAAAATCGGAGAAAAACTAAATCCATCCTGATGCATATCCATAATAACGAGCGTTACAGTGTCTTGAGGAAACGTATTTATTTCATTTGCAGCAAATACATTTGCTTTCTGCAGTTTGTTATTATTTTGTTTTAAGAATTCAACAATTCAACCTCACTAATTATTGGATCAAAGGAACTTACCTATGTGAAGTTCGATCCAAATTATTAGTTGCTCTCGTTGAAATAAATAAAAGTGTAGTACCCCCTTTTCTACGCCACTGAACCACAACGTTTATAGAAAGAAAACCAACGCCACCATCCTGCGCCGGCGCTCTGTCGTTAAGTGTCATTCCTTTAAAGGTAATGTTGTTGCTGAAAGGGTTAGGGATGGGTGGGACTTATTTATTTCAACGAGAGCAACTAATAATTTGGATCGAACTTCACATAGGTAAGTTCCTTTGATCCAATAATTATAAGTTGCTCTCGTTTCATAAATAAAAGTGTAGATGTTTAAAGATGCAACAACATTTAATAATACCTAAATAATACAAATTCCATTTTGGACGATTAGCTTAGTAAGAGATAATGAGTATAAATCAAGTGCTATTACTAAAAGACTTAAAAAATATATATATAAGTATATAATATATATGTACCAAAATAGTACTAAACCTGATATCAACAATAGTTATTCATATTGAATTAGGGTTTAGTACTGCACCAGCAAAATTCTCTAAAACTTTAATAGGTCTTTGATAAAATCGTGCAAAAGTTTGTGATTTTTCTGACCAATTTGCGGTTGTTCTTATCGTATCGATACTAACACCTCTCTTAGCAGCAATTGATGTCGAAGCATGACGAGTGCTGTGTGCAAAAAAGATATTTGTATCGATACCACTAGACCTTAGTATATCCTTAATCCACCTGCTTATCGTCTGGCTAGAAGCATCATGAAAAGGTTTTTTGTGGGTTAAAAACAATTTCTGACCATAGTTAGACCTCAGATGCTTCGTCTTACCAAGATACACGATTATAGCAGAAGCGACACAAATAGTAGGCCTCTCTTTAAAAAACGGTATGAACAACGTGGGTTGATAACGATTTTTTGCCGTAGTTTTGATTTTATTGGGTATCTTTATTTCAATTTTTTCATCCAAACAAACGATATCTTCTACCATAATGTTGGAGAGTGTCTGCACTCTGTGTCCTGTAGCTAAAGCTAGTAGAACTGCTAGCTTTTTACCCAATAATTCTATTGTGACGGAATTATTATCCCAATTTGAAAGAAATTTTAAAACTATCTCTGGATCCCAGATGTGGCTATACTTTGGTAAATTGGGCCTAACATTAATCACCCCTTTAAAAAATCTTTTGATAAGGTTATTAGTGCCTAAATCAAAATTTAAAACATGGCCTAACGCTGCACGAATCGAATTTAACGTGCCAAAAGAGGCCCCTTTATCAAACTCTAAAGAAAGAAAAACTAAAACATCCTTGGGAGAACTAATAAAAACATCAAGTTTCTGTCTTGAACAAAAATCCCACCAACGTTTTAGACCACTATTATATTGTCTTAATGTACTCAGAGAAATAGAAGATAAACAAATTTCCACTGCGGCTAAAGGAACTTCTTTCCTTTTTAACGCCTCCCGGATAAGAGACCTGCCACCAGGGAAATTCTTCTCCATAAGGGGTGAGGTTCCATATTAACAGAAAGAAGTTTTATGTTAGGTTCAAATATTAATGGTTTCTTGACTAACAAGGATGTAAACAAGGGAAACCAAGGTTGAGTTGTCCAAACAGGAACTACTACAATACCTATTGCTTTATCAGTCTTAATTTTATTCAACACCTTTAATATTAACGAAAAAGGCGGAAAGGCATAGAATTTTAGATCAGACCTTATAGTAAAGGCATCTACTTCACTTGCTTCAGGATCTCTAAACCAAGATACAAAATTATTACATTTTTTGTTCAGCCTAGAGGCAAATAAATCTACAGTAGCAAACCCAAAAGCATTGCAAACTTTATCATATGCGTAATTTGCCAACTCCCATTCCGTTTCTATTGAAAGGGTTTTTCGGGATTCTCTATCCGCCTCTACATTATCACGGGATCTTATATAAGCTGCAAAGATTACAATATTTCTAGTCTCACACCAAAACCATATCTCCTGAGCCCAAAAATTAAGCTGCGGAAACTGCACACTGCCCATCTTATTAATACAGGCTATAGCAGTAGTGTTGTCTATGCGACAAATAATATTTGTGTTATTAATATTATTAGCAAAGCATTTTATACCAAAAAAAGCAGCTTTCAATTCTAGAATATTTATGTGTAAAGACTGTTCTGAGCTGGACCAATGCCCATGTGTTTTCACCCCATTACAACATGCTCCCCATCCCGTCTTTGAAGCATCTGTGAATATTTCTAACTGAAAATTTAATTTCTCTAGACTATTTTTTGAAATTGAAATATTCCTTAACCACCACTCAAAATCGTCTTTTAGAGTAACAGGTATTTGCATGTTCGCATCATAATTGTCTTCATGAAGTCTTAATGCTAAAAATTTTACTCTCTCAAAATTTCTAGTGTGAAGCCAACCATATTTCATTGCTGGATTCACAGAAACTAAATTTCCTAAAAACACAGCAAAATCTCTGATCTTGCAAACCTTCAGTAGAGAGAAATCTTTTATTTTTTGAAAAAGTTTCTCTCTTTTTTTTTTTTTAGCAGGAATAGCAATAGACATCTCTTTTGTATTAAAAGTGAATCCCAGAAATTCACAAACTTGACTTGGAACAAGGCAACTCTTTTTCCTGTTTATAATAAAACCTAAGGATTCCAAGAGAATAATCGTCTGGGTTATGTTGTACAAACAATCATTATAAGATTGTCCTAATAAAAGGAAATCATCTAAATAAACTATGGAAAACAAACCCCTTCTTCTAAGCAAAGAAATGACCGGCTTCATAATCTTCGTAAAAATAAATGGGGCACAACTTAACCCAAACGGTAAACAATTGAACTCATATAAGTTCCCATTAAACAAAAATCTTAAAAATTTTCGGTGTCTCCTGTCGATAGACAAAAGAAAATATGCATCTTTCAAATCTAATTTTGCTAGATAACAATTCTTAGCAATAAGAGTCTTAGCGGTTTTAACATCTTCCAATTTAAAATGATGGTAAGCAACAAATTTATTAAGCTCTTTCAAATTTAATATTAAACGAAAACTACCATCAGGTTTTGGTACTAAAAAAATATTTGAAACAAACTGACCAGGACAGTCAGCTACCTGACTAATAGCTCTCATATTTAAAAGATTGGCTATTGAATCTTTTATGTTTAAAAATTCTGACTGGGACCAGTTCGGTTCTTTCTTTACAAAAGATTGGGATGGAGTACGAGTAAAAGGAATATATATTCCCTTAATCCAAGACAATACCATCTTGTTATTTGTAACTATACTCCAAATATTATAAAAATTAGCCAACCTGCCAGCTGATCCACTTACAATGTTCAATTGTGTTTGAAGGGTCGTTTCATGGGAGGTCTTCTCTGAGACGTGTGTTGACTCCGTTGAAATCTTCCTTCTTGATATTGACTCTGGGATCTTGGAAAGGGTTGAGTCCGTTGATTTAAATGTTGGCGGTCCCACCGAACTCGATGGTAATGAGAATGAGACCGACTTGTGAAGTTTTTTGTCTCCTTGTTGGTAACTGGTGCTTTAGCTTTAATCTGTCTAAGGTCACGTCACGACTAACTCTCTCCAGATTTTTTGAAGCCTTTACTCTCTCATCTAAATTAACGCCAAATAGCCATCCATCCACTTCGCCAATACAGCTTACAGCGACTGTACCTTTATATAAAAGTATCGTAAGAGTCGCAAGGTCAATGATATCACTGACTAAAAAACAGAGGAATATTCCTCTAGAAAATGCCAATTTAAGGCAATTTACCTTGTTCAGAAAAAGCAATAGAATCCTCGTGAATAAGGTCCTCGAAGTGTCCATAATCGCTATTAGACTCCATTGGTGTACTTCCGCGTTCGGATCTCGTGTCAGCTGTATCGCTGCTGCAACTGCTCTCTTTGTGTAAACCCGAAGCGCGATCTAATTTATCCAATTTCCGTAACAATCTTCTCCTTTTCACGTCTATTCTACTAACAGGGCTTTTTCTCCGTCGTTTGCCCATCACAGCAACTTCCAAAGCAAAAAAAATAATATAAAAAGAAAACACGTGTGGAATGTAAGCACAAAAAAGAAGAAATGACACTTAACGACAGAGCGCCGGCGCAGGATGGTGGCGTTGGTTTTCTTTCTATAAACGTTGTGGTTCAGTGGCGTAGAAAAGGGGGTACTACACTTTTATTTATGAAACGAGAGCAACTTATAATGTCTATTGTATTCTAGATACGAGCATTGAGTACACAGTAAAAGATTTCCAGTGCTGGAATTTAGATAAAAAGTGCGCCAGGCGGCGTACATTCTACCAAGCTCTTTCCTTTTCGGTCCTTAGCGCCCTATCAATATTTGATATTGTTTGTCGTAACTTGAACGGTGAAAAACAAGCGACAAAAAAGATATGCGCACATAACGCAATAAACGTAGGATTCTACGTACATATATCCGCAGCGAAGTATTTATAATTTCATTTTGTGTAGATTGTCCGAGAAAAGATGTTCATTAGACATCTTCATCTGATCCATCGTGTACATGGCTGAATGTTGAGCATGAACATTTTCTGGCAGTTCATTTTTTGTGTCAAATGTACATTAAATGCACTGTATGGGATGTCGATGTATGTAACAGGGACATTCAATGGATCGAACATATAAATTACCAGTACGTCCAGCGGTTTACATGGGAATTGGAAAGGGGTAGAGCTTGTGACAATTTCAAGTTGAGCGAGTGTGTGCCCGCCATGCACCCTTATCTAAACTGGTCGACTTTGTTTTTCATGTTTTCTAAGAGCTTTAATTAATTAGTAATAGCATCTCCACTTCAACGAAACCATGAAAGAAATAACCTTAGTAAAATAAACTGTGACATTCCATACACTTTTGGCGAGCAGTTGATTGGCAACAGACATTGCAGACGGTCTTCTAGACTGAGGAAAATATTAGCAAGAATTGAATTTGCTATTTAACTTACTCTCTTGGATGAAAACCATTTTGACGTGACAAACAATGTAAATTGAATAGGTCCAATAAACATTATTATTATTATTATTATTAAACTATTTTATTTCTATTCAAGTTACTTTACTAAATCAAGTTTCACATTAACTACCTCTGAAATAAACCTATAACATGCTTAAGCGAAATGGAAACCCCCGATTGATTCACTTATGACTGAATGCAATTGAATGTTCAACTAAGCTATCTTATATTCACACCTCTTTAAACATTCTAGTGATAAAGACGCATCATTTCATTCTAAAGTTCCAAAGAGACAGACGTAAAATGTTCAGCATCAAGCTCGTGTAAGATTTATCTTCTTTAACAAATATTCTTGCATTTACGATTAAATGGCCAATATTACGTACCTACAGCTTTAGCAAATGAAAATTTCCTATCTTCTATAACCAATACACTTCAAAAATAAAATAAATCGTAAAGTTCAACTCTGAGCAAAAAAAACCTTTCGTTTCAGTGTCGGCTACGTTTATCAAAGTTAATTAAAAGAATTCCTTCAAATCCTTACTTTGATTTCTTTTACAAATAACCTACCATAGGAGTGCGCAATTTTAACGAAAAGCTTTGCAAACTTTTTTACAAGAGAACGCTTAGTAGAGCTATGCGTATTTCGATTACTGTTACATTGGATTCGCGATTTACTTTCATATCGAGGGTTTCTCAAATACATCACTCCATTTTGCCAATGGAGAGTTTAAAAGTGAATAAATAGAACGCAATAAGTACGTTATTTACGTTTATGAGGTGTGCTCCATCGAGATCCTAGGCAAATCGTAGAAACTCCATTTGGTCTGATGCTTTACGCCAACTTTTAAAAGAACCCTTCAATCTATGTTTCCGTTTGAAACGTAACTCGCTGCACGTATGCTTAGTTGCAAACTAGAATAAATCATTCAGACCTTTTAAACCACACAAGTATTTGTTCGTAATAGTTATTTTCATAAGTCAGGAAATGACACATCACAGGTGCGGCCGGTAAAGTGACAGGCGGCAGGGAAAGCAGTCTGGTCTGCTTCTGTCATGGAAACTTTCGTGACATAAAGTAGGCATGAAAATGAAGGTTCCATGGGGATTTTGAGGAAATAATTATATACAGATCGATCTCGTATTGCTGTAAGCTTTATTAAAAACCAAGCTAGCAGAATCTCAAACAAAAAACTTACAAATGACACTGACAAATCTTCCTCATTATCATTAGAACACGTTAGTAGAAAGTATTCTATGCTGCAAAGGAGTATACAGTGTGTAAACCAAAACAAACTCACCCCTGCAACTTTGGTGGAATTGACTGTGTACAATTTTTGCGGATAATACTCAAACTCTGGATTCCGGATTGCGATAGGAGGGTGGACGGAGTCCACGCGTACCTCAGTCTCAAATTCGAGCCATTTGTACTACCTCCTTGACCAGAGTCGTGCGACTCCTCAACGGGGGGAGGCAGCTTTAACGTGCATTTATTGAGTGAAACCATTGAATTTATAACTATCAGAAGCGCCGATCCCATATAACAGTTTGTGACCATATGCGAACTTTCCGCCGCTAGGGGCAGTTCGATCGTTTGAAAGTCCGTGGGCGATCGAAAGTGGAGCGTTACATTGACATTAGATGGCAGCATTACAAACCATTCATTAAAGTCACTAAATATAGAAAGTACCGCAATCCATTGGGCTCGTGTGTTAGAGAGAGAACGCATGATTTTTGCCCAAAAATGGCGGAAGTTACCAGATTTTAGTAACTTTAATGTTAGGGATTGTTCCACCTGTTTGGAGATAGCTGTATATATTTTACAATAGGCAGGTTCAACATTTTTTTATTTTTACGGAAAGCGGGAGATTTTGTTATTCAAAAACGATAAAATAAATTTGAGGGCAAAATATTGTCCGTTGTAAGCATTTGAATTTTGAAAACCAACGGTCAGCGAGAAGAGAAAAAAACGTACCAACACATTTGCCGCCGCGTTGGCAGAATATATAATACGAATTCACGTGAACTGGAACCGATGTGTTAATTTTATTTGCTGTGTGCACAATGCAGCAATGCTGCCAGGGTATAAAAAAAGTTGGCGAAATTTACCCAATGTTAATGTGGAAATTGAGTTTTCGGTAATGCAAATTTAAATGAACGAATGAACCTCAGAATAGTCCATTAGTGGAATTGTTGGCAGTTGGCACCTACATCATTTCCACATTCACATTTGATAACTAAATTTCGCGAATCAGCTTTTTTTATAACCTTGCAGCATTGTGCACAAAGAGATCGGTCCCAGTTTACCTGAATTCGTATACCTACTAGAGCTGAGCGATAAATGAAATTGTTATCGATTTATCGATAAGTGTGTTCAGTTTGATAATTATCGATTAATCGTTAATCGATAACTATCGATAATTATCTATAACTTTAAACAATTATCGATAACTTTCGATAATAATCGACAATTATCGATAAATCGTAACGATCATTTTCGATAATGATCGATAACGTTTGATAATTATCGATAACTTTTGAAAATAATAATGATTGTTGGCTGCTGATAATAATCGATTATTATTGCCACTTGTCGAAAATTGTCTATCTCTGATATTTATCGATTAATAGACCAGTAGCGGGAATTATCAAGAGAAAACTATCGATACTTTTTCATAAATCTCATCGATATATATTCTCAATCGATATATTACATCATCCATGCGTACATCGCTAACATTTTTGTTTTTTTGGTATTGGTATTGCGAGAGATAATTTAAATAAAACAGGATCTTTTGATGCTGAAGTTTTCTCTCCACAATGCTCTTACATCGCTTTTGTTGGAAGTAAACTGGTATACCTAAACATTGAAAAGTTTATGTCGTTAAATATTCTCTCGATAATTATCTATCTTAATAGTTTAGTTGTGAGACTAATCGAAAGATTATCGCTAATTATAGATTTATCGACCAATCCTTTAAAATTTTCGATAAATTACACCGGTCTACAGCATTTTTGCGCAAGGGACATATATATCTTATTTTTATTGCTTCTATAGCCACAAATAAGAATTAGAACAAAAAATGGTTATGTATTTGTTTTTGTGTGAAAAAAATGCAAAAAACCAAAAAATAAAAATACCTATAAAATCTTACTTACATAAGGCATGATTTATTAAATGGTAACGTTTCTACATTTATAATTTGTTTATCTTAGAGTCTAAATGTTTAAAAATGGAACAGTTTTGCTGTTTTTGTCATGTTCAACTGAAGTTTTTCTTATCAGCCCCCCAAATATGATCTTCCATCATGCTTCCAGCTTCCTGGCCTTGGGAAGGTGCCTAAGTTCCATTGTCTTGACAAAGTGTTGTCCTTGTTATTCCGAATAAGCTCCCATATAATCCTTAAATTGATCGAAATGAGAATGTAACCTTTATTCTTTATTCTTTAGAGACATTCTATACCCCATGATATAAACCAAATCCTGTCAGCTCGTCATAATTTTCAGCTTCTATGGTTTCCCAGGAAACACTGAACGGGAAACCATGGACTATTGCCTTAAAACTGTTCCAGGATTTTTTTTCCTCTTTGCTAAGTAACCGCGGAAAAATATCACCCTCCATTTTTCTTTTTTTTTTTTGAGGGAAAACAAAGATTCCAGCTTTAATGTTCGCCCCTGAAAGCTTTCAATCAAATCGCTGTAACTTTTGTAAAAGCAAATATTTTCGATGTCTTAATCGCACTTTTTATTTATTTTTGCGTATTATAGTCAGAATATATTATGTAAATCCCATGCGCAAAAAATTCTTTTTTTGTTGATCGGTGTTATCCATTAGTCGACCATTTTTTTAAAATTTATCGACTGACTATTAATCGATAATTATCGATAAGTTATCGATTAACCATTGAGAACAAATTTCAAACGTCAGAATTTAAAAGAAAAGAGGTAACGAGTTAACGACCTTTTTATTTTGTATCAAAATTGCCAGGTGTGACGTGTGATCCTAGATCAGGGGTCGGCAACCTGCGGCTCTTTTGTTTTTTTATTATAGCCAGCCTACTCCGATGTATAAACACGTAATTAATTAAT